AAAAAAAAAAAAAAAAAAAAAATAGAAAGAGAGATTGACTAATTCATGTGCAGAGTGCGGTGCAAGAAACACAGAATACATGGAGACATATGATAGAGACCTAGCTTTAGAGAAGGAAGTTCATTGTCTGGGCTTCAGCTCTGTGTTATTGGCATGTTTACACCTTCCATTGTCTGTTTGGTATCTAGTTGGATAAGCCAGACTCCTTTTTCCTGCATAGTCTCTGTCATTGGGACTGTTCATTTCTTTAAGCTATTTTATTTATTTATTTATTTTATTGGTACCGAGGATTGAACTCGGGTCCCTGTGCTTGCAAGGCAGGCCACCGAACTGCTGAGCTAAATCCCTGGCCCATCTTTAAGCTATTTTAAAGAAAATATTAGTTTTAGCTAACATTTATTGAGTACGAGACATGAAGTTTTTCAAGGATTTTAGGAGGAAAATGTTACTCATATTTTCATCTTGTAGATGAGAAAATGAAGACACGGTGTGATTGAGAAAATCACTCAGTGTCACATTAGAATTTTTGGGAAAATCTCCATATCCTCTAAAGTTCTACAGAACTTTCTGCTAGACTGGAAATATTCTGTTCTGTCTCACATGTGGAGCTGCCAACTATGTATAGTTATTGCCACTTGAAATTGGTTAAATCGACTGAAACACTAATCTCTTAATTTTATCTGTGTCGATTACTTTAAATCTAAATTCAAATTGTTACATGTGGCTGGTGGCTACTACATCAAACAGCACAACTCAAAACATAAGATTCGCGAAGCCAGACAAATTTTGGTCTATTTAGTTGCTGAATTTATACTTCCTAGAGCTTTGCCTGACTGGCTGTAGATAGTTACCACATGTAAATCAGATGAATTAATCAATTAGGGTATGATTAGGAAGTACATAAATACTTAGGTCATAGTAAAATAAAAATAAAGAACTTACTTGAGGTACATTTTATGTGTTTCTTGTTTGTTTTTAGATTCTGGGAAATGGCTTTTACATTCACTGGCCTCAAGCTGCAGGGATCACTAGGTCGATTTGGCAAAACAGCCACCACTGATATAGAAGGCTATGTGGAGCTCCCCGACGGGAAGGCAAGCACAGCCCCAGTTCTACTGTAATCAGTGCATATATGAAAGCATGAATGTATGCAAACACATCATATGTTCTACAAAGCTCTGCCAATTTTCATAACAGATTATAATTGTAATGAACATTTCCCTTTATACTTCCGTAGATTGTCACTTACAATTAAATATCTCCCCGAAGTTGTCATAATCCATCCATCCATACCATTTTCTTTTTGCTAAATGTTATACATCCATGCAAAGTGTATAAGCATTTTCATATATTAACACAGTGGCAGCCTTGTAACATTTAATTATGTCATGGAATTGCAATGTTTATGTTTTTTCTCAAGCATTCTAATAGACTATTTTAAAAGCAGTTTTAGATTCACAGCAAAATTGAGAGGAAGGTATGGAAGATTCCCATAAAACCCTTCCCCTATATATGCATTATCAACATCACCCACCAGAATGATGCATTTGTTACAAATGATAAGCCCATGCTGACACACCAGTGCTTAAAGACCATAGATCACTTCAGTGGTCATTCTTCGTATTGCACATTTTCTGGGTTTAGACACGTGTACAATGACACGCATTATCTATAGTTATACCATTGGGTTATAGTTGTACCACTGGCTAGTTTCGCTGCCTAGAAAATCCCCTGTGCTCTATCTATTCATCCTTCTCTCCCTCTTAGTCTTTGGCAGCCACTGATCTTTTTACTGTCTCCTTAGACTCGCCTTTTCCAGAGTGTCACAGGCAGTACTTATATTACTTATCTTTCTTCTGTTTTTTCTTTGCCATGATGCTCCAAGTGAATTTATCGGGACCAGAGGTTATATACAGTTTTATGACTTTTGTTTTTAACTGTCAGATATTATTCAGGAAGATCAGGCAAGTCCACAGTGGCATCTGCAGCTCTGCAATTCAATCCGTTAATTTATTCTTTAATTTTGTTAGACTATATCCTTTCTTCTGTGACAAAACTTATGGGCTTACTGACTGAAATGGTAGTTTACTTAGAATCAGTTATCCTTTAATATTTTATCTGGTTTTCTCTTAGAATGAGCTAAACTCTATTACATACATAACATATTATACAGTATTACTTGTGATTATTTCTGTTATAAGTAAATGCCAACATAGAAATATTACTCCAAGTTTAAGAAACTACATAGTCTAGTCATCTCCCTGATGGAATAGTGTCATTTGGAAATCATGCTGTATATAGGGAGAAACCCATCTTGGATACTGGTTATATTGTATATTTAAACCTAGAAGATGAGTTTAAATCAGTCTACCTTCAAATTCGGAATATTCTAAAACTTAAGCTAAAATAAAGATCAATACAGCCTTTTAAAAATACAAATGAAATACATGCAGAGTTCACATAAATGTAGCAGAGAGGGAATCCTTGTTAAATGGTAAAGCCACAGAAGGAAATGTTTAGGGTGTTTAGGGTTAGGAATAAATATCAGATATTCAGAGGGCAAATTAGAATAAGACATTCACGTAGAGGAAGAGTTAACACTTTGGGTTGAGATGTATGATTGAGTTCTAGCATATGAGGAGTTTAACAGCCAGACAAAATTAATATTCTTTGGAAGAGTAGCTTTACAAATAAAAAAGTAGTAAGTACATTTGGTCATAAAATGTGGATTAGAGGAAGGGAATCTAGAGTCAAGGAGATAAGCTAAGAAGAAAGGTGCTACCATCGCTTAAAAAGAGATGATGAGGGTCTCCATTTCTCAGGACCAAAAGAATAAGAGTTGACATTTCAGAAAGGAATGTTTTATAGGTTTTGGTCAACTTTAGGGGCATTAGTCACTGAACAGTTGATTTCACAAAGGCAGAGATGAAATAGTTGTCACTAGAGGCTAAGAAGGGGTATGAGAAGAGAACATAGGACAACTAAAGCACAATTATATAGGAGGAATAAATTCTAATATTTTACAGCACATTAGAACTGTAGTTCACAATAGTTTGTTATTTATTTTATAAAGAATTGGAACAAAGTCATTCAGAACTTCCCAACATAAAGAAATGGCAAATGTTTAAGGAGAAGGAAATATTAATTACCCTGCATTTGTATACATATATCAAATTGTCATACGGACCCCATAAATAAGTATAATTATTGTGTGCCAATCAAAAATACATACTGTATACAAAAGAAGAAAACAAGCCTAGAGTGTAGTACAAGTGAACTAAGGCTTAATCATGGGTAAAATTCAAAGGTATATAGAGCAAGAGGTTAAAAGGCTTGAGTAAAGTTGCCCTTCCATCAGGTGAAAAGAAAATGGAATTGCAGGACCCTGCCACAGGAAATTAGAAATGAGGCCATTTTTCTTAAGTGCATTGTATAGAAAATCAGTCTGCACAAAAGCTGTGAAAATATGACTTTTCTAGTCAAAGTCCTTTGTATCTACAGATTTCTCTTAGTAATTCCTAGCAAATACTTGTGTACTAAAGCTTTCCAGGAGTGTGAGAGAAATTATACTTGTTTGGCTCCTGACCTCTGCATCTGCCTTCTAAGGCAGTGTAGTCAACACAAAAGATTTTGACCCACAGTGCTTGGTCCAGACCCTGTTGCTCTGGGTAATTTGGGACAAGTTCCTTAGCTGTGCTTCTGTTTCTTCCTCTGTGAAATGAGGATAATAATAATAGGGATTACTATTGGCTCATGCATTTATGGGCCCAATAAAAAGCTGTTTCTTCTGAGGAAAATAAAATAACCTACACGCACAGCTGTGTATGGTAAGCCTGAACCACTTACCTCGTTTATATGGTTTTTAGCATTAAATAACATATACAGTGTAAGGTACACAAGCAGGGCTTGACACAGAGCCCATTCTCAAATATTATTCGTACAATGTTTGTTAAACATTCTAAAAACTAATCTGTGGTAGTATGCACTTCAGGAAATTAGATTCAATAGGGTAACTTGAGGTGGTTCCTTATATTTTACTATTGTGCTATACTCTGCTCAATTCAGTAATGGCCCAGTAACTTATCTAACTTCTTATAAAATTTGATATCACTGAAGTAGAATCTAATTTATCAAGGACTTTAAGCATGTCTTGAATTTTTCCATTCCTAGATTATGTTCTTAAGAGATGTACAATGAAATATGCTATATACATGTATGAAAACTTTCCAGTAACATACAGCCTATTTACAGTCATCTAAAACAATGCAGTAGGGGAAGTAGGAAGGGTAGGGCAAAGGAAATAAAGGCAAAGAAAAAATATGAGAAAAGGAAGAAATGAAAACAAAGTCTTTGTAAATAGGGGAAGGTGGAGGGGGTAAAGGAAGGGCAGGGGTATGGGGAAAAAAATGCGAACCAAGATCTAGCATGTAAAGGTACAAGATCCCCAGTGATTAATGCAACTGTACTGTATACTTAAAAAGTACCAATAAACTCAATAAAAAAAACCTCAGGATGCTAGAAAATATGTAAAATATGATTAGTGGTTGTCTGGGGCAGTGGATTTTCATTTCTATATTTTCTTATTTTTTCATATTCAAACTTACTTTCATAATCAAGAAAAAAATCCTTATGTATAACTCATGCCTACTATTTGAGGTATAAATACATACACATTTTCTGTTTTATGAAAATCTCTTTCTTTTGCACACTGCCAGGTGCTCTCAGGGTCAGAATGGGGCAACCTGCTGCTTTGGGAAGGCAGCCTCATCAAAGTGGAGCTGTGCCGAACTGGCATGAAGTCTTGTCACCACGGTCCCATCAACCAGATAACGCTGGACGAGGGTGAGGTCATCACTGCTGGGTCAGATGGCTGTGTTAGGGTGAGTTTTCTTGATCTGTAGGGAATAGCACCCGAATCCTAGACTAAGCTGGATCATTGCCCCACATTTAAATTCCCTTGGATGCTATTTTATCATATTGTTTGTGGCACCTTCTATAAATGTGTATACCACACTGTCGCTCACCAAACTGACTTGCTTTGTCACTTTGTCCTTTGTACATGTTCTTTTTGGAGCCTTTCATAAGAAAATGGAAGTAGTCTATTGTCATTCTTTAATTGTGTTTAGAAAAAAAATTGCATTTTTAAAAAAATAGTCTGGTCACCATCGACATTTGCTGAGTTTAATGTGCCTAATACATTGCTTAAGCCAAATTACCCTCCATGTGTCTTCTTACCACAAGCTTTTTGAACCCAAGTGTAGGTTTTTCCATTTACAGTATGATGTTTGATCTTGTTAGATTTCATACACTGCTCTGAGGATCTTTTATGTCCTTTATTTTGCCATGAAAATGTTCACTAATCCTTCCAAGATATGTCATCCCAAAATGGCCACATAACAAATTGGAGAAAAACCTCAGGAAAAAAGAAGTGGAGCATTTCACAGAAGATCCCTTCATGGACAACATTAATTTCTAAACTTACTTCCTTTTTCAAAGGCTAAACTCATCTCTTTAGCCCTTCAAGTTGTAAATTTCTACCTGTCTCCCTTTAGGAAAATTAATCCCTTTAGGGGATTAGTTTCATCCTAGGAACCAGCTCTTTTCACCCCATCAAGCTAATCCATGGGGCAACAACAGTCTCCCCAGGATATGCTTTTCTGAATTCTGAGTCAGTCTCTCTAGGATAATGTGGCAGGATATATCAACAGATCTTCCTGGGGTGGGCTTTGGCATGCCATATAAGTCCTTCTGAGTCTTCCATGGAAGGGAAACTTAGCTCCCTTGTTTGTCCCAGAGTGTCTGGACTCTTCCCCTAGGGCACAGAACTCCTTTCCTGAGATAGCAGAATATAAATTGATACAAAGGAAGAGAAACATTTCCTAATGGAGTCATCAACTACATCTATTTGCTCTGATTATAATTGAGATAGTGTTTGAATCATTAAGCAAGAGGTATAGTTCCTCTTCCAGTGGGTAATAAGTCTCATTACAATGTCTTGTTGAACTAAATCATTTACTCTGTATGGGTACATTATATGAAGAAAGAACTATTAGAAATCTTGAAATAGAGTTTATTTTAGTCAATCTATTACTTTGCTACTTATCTCTACAAAGAAAACTATAAATAATTTCTTATACTTCAGTTCAGAGTAAAATACCAGGATTTTGGTTTTGGCTGGTGCTATAGCTATTTCTACTCATTGTTAATGTTTATGAAACAAGAAGAAAAGACTTGAAAAAATCAGAGCCTTTTCTATCTTAGAAAACAAAAGAAACTACTGATCGATTGAAGTATTTTCTTATTAATTTTGCAAGATATGGGACTTTGAGACAATAGACACTGCTGATATCATAGATGAAACTGGATTATTGGAGATTGAACCTATTAATGAACTTCAAGTAGGCAAGAATGTCAATCTCTTCTCTATGATAAAAATGAATGAAACTGGGAATAACTTTTGGTTGGCTCAGGTAAGTTAAATTCTTTTCTCTTGGCTCTTTAAAGTTACCTAGACATAAAATTAAAAAAAAAATAAGTCCATTTGACTGTAAATATTTGCTTATTGTATGGTTATATTTTAAGATATATAGAAATTAGCAAATATCAATCATACTTTATAATATATGTATGGTTTTGATATTATTGTTTGTGTTTACTTGAAACCACAGGAAGAAAAATATTTTATTTGATGAAAGTTCAAAATAATAAAATAAGATATTATTGGCTGTTTAATTTTTTTAGGATGCCAATGGAGCCATTTGGAAGCTTGACCTTAGTTTTTCAAATATTGTAAGTTGCCCCTTTTTTTCATTTTCATCTAATTTATATAGTGAAAATTTTTTGCCATTCTTTGAAGACACTTTATCTTTCTCCATGTTAGGTCATTGTTAACAACATCAAATTTGAAAGGGATCCATTTCATTGTGCAACCAATGCACTTTTCACAAACATACAGAATTTTCGCTTATATTATCTCATATGATCCTCCCAGCCATCCTGTTTAGTAGGCACATACCATCTCATATTACAGATGAAGACATGCAAACTGGCATTTAAGTGACTTGTGCAAAATCACAGTAATTAATTAAGTGCCAAGGCAGGACTCCTAATTTCAAGGTTCAGGGCTCTTTCCAACCTGTTCTTTTTCTTACTTCTGTTTAAATAAACACACATGTGTCAGGTTCTAGTTGCATCTCTTAAAATTGACCTTAATTCTATGTTATCCTGCCTTGGAGATACGATACCGTTTGTCTGTCCTCAGACCCAGGATCCAGAATGCCTCTTCTCCTTCCATCGTGGAGCTATTGAAGCCCTAGCTGTTTCTCCTGTCACTTATCTCATGGCCACTACTGCCTTGGACTGTAAGTGGGAGCTCTTGATGAAAATATATTTGGCCTTGTTTTATCTCATTTCCAGTATAATTTTTAAATGTGTTTGATTAAAAGCATTTGAGAGTTTTTCCAAAAGGGAAGCCCCTTAAAGCAAATAAGGTGAATTGTTCAGTGGATAAGGCACAAAATGCAGCATCCATAGCTATTGTGAGAGATTAAAATATGGATACAATGTATAACTCATCCAAGAAAACGCTCTTCATCTTGATATCATCCACATTCATGCTCTTTCTATGCCTTTCTTCCTTCATGATTTATGGCAAATCTAAGTGGACTGTGCAAGGTGAAGGTGATTTACCAATCATCAGTTGTCTTCTTTATTATCATATTTGTAAATTACCTGTTTGAAGACATACATGGAAAGTTTTGAAAGGGTGTTGGATTATCAATTTAATTATTTACGAAATTTTGTGTTACAATACTAAATATGTAAAAAGTGAGCCAAGATTATTTCAAGAGATATTATGTATATATAATCTGTTTCTTTTAAAACTGTCTTTTTATAGGCTCTGTTCGAATCTATGATTTTGCTAGCAAAACTCCTTTGGTTCAGATGAAATTCAAACAAGGTGGTACTGCCCTCACTTGGGTACCCAAAATAGTAAGTTTGTTGTTATAATGAACTTCTACCAGGATCTATTGGTAAATATAGCACATTAGTGCTATTTTTGTAAAAATGTAAATTTTTCTGACTCAGTACTTTAAAGATAAAAAATTTTAAGTTAGCTTATTTCATTCTGAATGTAATAAAAATCATATAACAACCTCATTACATTATAGTTTGGTCCATATAACCTCATTATATTATGGTTTTTAATGAAAATTCTGTTTTTATGCCAACTGCATGTTAGTAATAATTCCACTTTGCAAAGTAATTTCCTGACAGAACTTTGTGTGTCTATGCTCTATTGGTCTCTAATTTCATTCATCTTACTATTATTTGCACTTTGCTTACATTCTGCTGGGCTTATCTGCTAAAGTTTGGAACTAAGGCAGTGAACAAAAGGACAAAAATACTTATCTTTGTGAATCTTACACTTTCATAGGATGGAAGCAAAGACAGAAAACAAACCAAATTATTAAGTAAAATATGTTCTATTCAATAATAATAACAGTTATGAAAATATGAGGCAGGGGTGGGAGTTGTTCCATTTATCTACTCTGTAATAAACTATCCCAAAGCATAGTGTCATAAAACAAGTTAAATTTATTTTGCTCACTTTTTGGATAGGAAATTCATGCAGGTGTCAGCAGGGATGGATATCTTTACTCCAGGATGACTTGGATTGGGCCTGGAATAATTTGGAGGTTGCTTGGTCACTGCTTGGTCATGGCACTTCTGGGTTGGATGATTCAAAGGCTGGACTAAGTGGGGAGTGTCACAGGAGTGTTCACCTTATAGGCTTCATCTCAGCATGGCAGCCTCACACACATTTAACAGCAGCTGAGGAGTTTAAGAGCTAGTATTCTAACAAACAAGGCAGAAGCTTTTATGCCTTATCCTCAGAAGTCAAAATATCACTTCTACCATACTTGATTGGCTGAAGTGCTCACATGGTCAAAAAGCCCTAACTAGACTCAAGAAGAGGGGACTTTAAACATCGTCTCTGTTGTAAGCATGTCGAAGAATTTGTAGCCATGCCTTTTAAATGCCTTGGTGGCATTTGAGGAGATATTTAATCCTTACTGTTGTTCTAGACACAAAATAAACATAGATATGATTGAAATGGAGGGGAATTTCATGATGGGAGCAAGGCTAGGAAAAGAATTTAGGTCAGGGAACAGAGGCAGCACAATAATGAGGCTAGAATAATTAGGAATGATAGAGCATTTGGATTGGCCAACCTGGCTCACTCTTTACTTTAATCTCCTTACACTTAGTCTTGCTTGAAGTCTTTAAAACATAGCCAATGTAATTGAATCATTTCTCTAGATGGTTGTGTGATCTTCATAGGATGTTTCCTTTTAAAAATTTATATCCAAGTAATCATCATATGGATATTATGCTCAGAATGTCCTTCTTGCATACCCTGTTGCTTTCTGGAACATTCCACATAGTTTTTTATGACTTAACTCAGGTCAAACATCACCTCTGCTTAGCCCTTTGTGAACCCACCTTCAAGTAGAGTTAGGTTCTCCTTCCTCTGTGGGATTTCTTGTGAGGGTTGTGGACATTTCTCTTATAGCTCTTATCACAACACACTAAAATTACTTACTTGCTTTATTTTCCTACTAGGCTGTTTTTAAAACAAAATGAAACAAAATGGCAACCACATTATATTCTTTGCATCTAGAGAACAAATGTACAGTTACTGGTACACTCACACAGTTAGTAAATGTTTGCTGAACAGGCAACATGCAGCCAGAATTAAATGGAATATTTTCTTACTCCTAAGATTCTCATAAATGGCTGGCCTCAGGGATGGCCCCTGTGCTCTAAAGGATGCCTCGGCTTTTGCTCTTTTCTGGAATACTCTCCAAGATAGTAGATTTAGTACATTCAGACATTACTAGATATCTACCTCTAACTCGGACTTTTCCTGTAATCTGCTGACAATATCACTTCCATTTTGAGATATCAAGGAGACCTCAAACTCAATATGTCTAAGACTAAATGCATGATCTTCTCTTCACATTTATCCATCTCTCTTTCTCTAAAACAACAATAGCAACAACAAACCACACACACACACACACACACACACACACACACACACACACACACACCCCTTACTTACAGTGTTCTGCCTCAGTAATTTCATTACCATTCATCCCTGACAGTTCCTTCTCATCCTTTATATCCAGGTATCACCAACAGAGTCATTTTACCTCCCTCTAAAATATGTCCACATCCCTTCTTTCCATTGTACTACCTCAGGCCAAGTGACCTCAGAATATAGTAGCCATCTCTTTTTTTTCCCTCATTTTTTTATTAATATATGTTTGCAATACATAGTAAATGCATTAATCATATAGACAAAGCATCTTGATCCTTTTTGTTCGTCCTTCCCTTCCCCTCCCTCCTGTAACTCCTCCCATCCCCAGATCTCTTTCCCATCCTTTTAATGAATTTGGATTCATTGACTTTTGGCGGGGGGTGGGGGGTACCAGGGATTGAACACTGGACCTTGTGCTTGCAAGGCAGGCAGTGGCACCACTGAGCTAAATCCCTGGCCCTCGTTCCTTTTATTAGTTTCAAATTTGGATTTTTCTTGACTTTCTAGGACTTTCAGATACATCATTAAGTTATGTGGGACTACTCTATTCTTTTTATGTGTACATTTATAGCTATCAACTTCCCTCTTAAATGCTTTCATTGTGTCCCATAGGTTTTGCTATGTTAGGCTTCCATTGTCATTTGATTTTAGGAATAGTTTTATTTCTTCCCTGATTTCTTCTGTGATGTATTGATTTTTCAGTGATCTTCATCTGTTTGCATAATTTCTGTGGCTTCTTTTACTGTTGATTTCTAGCTTCATTCTGACATGATTCAATAGTATGCAGGGGATTATTTCAATTCTTTTCTATTTATTTAAGCATGCTTTATGGCCTAAGAGATGGTCAATTTTGGAAAAAGTTCCATGTGCTGTTGAGAGAAATGTGCATTCTGTTGTTGGATGAAACATTCTGCAGATATCTGTTATCATTTGTTCAGGGGTGTGGTTGAACCCTGATATGTCTTTGTTGATGTGTGTATGTGTGTGTGTGTGTGTGTGTGTGTGTGTGTGTGTGTGTGATTTAACTAATTGTGAGAGTGGTTTATTCAAGTCTCCCACACTGACTGTACTGATGGCTATATTTTCTTTTAAGTTCAGTAGTTTTCTTTGTATGAAGTTAGGTGTGCCAACATTAGGTATATAAATATTTACATTTGTTATCTTTTCTGTTGCATTGTTCCTTTTATACTAGTATGTTATGGTCATCTTTGTCTCTTGCAGTCAGTTTTTGCTTATACATTGCTGTGTCTAAAAATAAGATAGCTACCTCTGATATTTTCAGGCTTTGATTGATTTGATTGTAGTGTCATTTTCAGTTTATAGACTTCCTTTTGGATGAGGTGTATCTACTGTAGGCAATATATGGTTACTTTAAAAAAAAAATCCAATCTGCCAATTTTGATTGGGGAGTTGAGACCACTCACACTGAACATTATTACTGTAAGATGTTTATTGAATACTATCATTGCATTATTTTCTAATGCCGATTCCTTTATTTTTAAAATCTATATGCCTCTTTGATGTCACTGGGGTTCCTGTCTCTGTTTAGGATTCCTTTAAGTATTTTCTGCAATGCTGGATTAGTGGTCCTATACTTCTTTATGATTTCTTTGCCGTAAAAAGTTTTTACTTCTTTGTAAATTTTGAAGAATAATTTTTCAGGGTATAAAAATTGGAGCTAACAATGGTTTTCTTTTAGGGTTTGCAAAACTTTGTTTCATGCTGTCCTGGCCTTTAAAATATGTGCTGAGAAATTTGCATTTATTTTGATGAGCATGCATTTATGGTTACTTGCTGTTTTTCTCAACAGCTTTTAGTAATTCTCTCTTTTGTTAAATTTCTGAAATTTTGATTATGTGTTGTGAGGAAGTTCTTTTCTGGTCATGTCTATTTGGGGTACTGTATACCTCTGTATTTGACTAGTGAATTCTTTCCCTAGATTTGGAAATTTTTATGCTATAACTTCAGTGAATACAATTTATACATTTTGAGTTATATTCTAATTTTTTGTTTATTCCTAAAATTCTGAAGTTGATTGTTTTTGAGTTGTTTAGCAGCTTGGATCCAACCTGCATCGTCTTGTTAGTTTTAAGGTATCACTGAACTTATGATCGACCACATCCACCTTGTCTTTTATTTTTGACACTTTGTCCTTAAGTCTGCTACCCATGCTTTCCAATGAATTTTTCACATTATCTATTTCTACTTGCTTTATTTTTATACTTTCTAATACTTTACCAAAGTAGTAATTCATGTATTGTCTTACTTAACTCAATTATTGTTTGTATCTTCTTTAAGATTATCAAACATTTTATTAGAAAAATCTTTAATTAAATCTTCTTTGAGCTCATTACATATCCTATGCATTTGCTTATGCTTCTTTTTTTTTAATCTCTTCAGACTTTTGATTTTTGAGTACTTTGCATACAGCTTCCTCTACTTCAGTATCTGTGAGATCAGCCTTTGAGGAGCTAGGTTTTTTTGGGACATCTTTTACCTTACTTTCTCATGTTTCTATTGTTTTTGTACTGTGAATTGAAGGTCAGTTAGGGTAAAAAAGCTCTGTTACTACTGTGGTGGTTACTTTAGTTAGAATCTGTCTCCCTGTAATGTGTCCCTGGGTATATGTTTGGGTGTCTAGACCCTTCTCCAACCTAGTCAGCATGATATTTGAGCATACCTTTAATGTCTAGCCTTGATCTCCAGCATCACTCAGAGAGAAGGAAACAAACTGCAATAATGTTTATGACACAAAGAAAAACCAGATAATGGCACACAGGAAAAAACAGTTAAAAGCAACAACTATGCCACCATTAACAATAGAGAAGAAGTGAGCAATAATAATAAGTCAAAGACAAACTGGTTATTAACATACCATAAAAACTAAGAACGGCTATAACTATACCATCCTTAACAATACACAATATATCAGCAATAATAATATGAAAACAAACCAAATATTGACATACAGAAAATATTTAATAAGAAAAACAACTATACCACTATTAACAGCAGAAAATAATTCATCAGTAATAGCATAGAGTCAACTAAATAGCTAAAAATTGATAAAGTTTAATAGTAATAAAAATGGAAGGCTAAAGGAAGAAGAAAATGAAGGGAGTAAAATTTTAAAAAGAAAGAAAAGGAAGATGAAAATGAAAGATGAGACAATTCTATTAAAGAATAAAATAAAGTTAATAGAATTGGGTAAAAATAACAAAAAAGGACAAAACGAGAAATATGAAAAAAGTATAAAAACAAAAAAACAAAAGATAAGATAAAATGAAACAAACAAACAAAAACCAAGCAACCCACAGAACAAAGAAAAGAAAAAAAAAAGAAATGAGTCCAAAATTTTTCTCCATGTGTTTGGTGAGTGGTTTCCTTCCACTGCCTGTGGTATTGAAATCTATCAGATGTGGGAGGGGGATAGTGAGTCACAAGGATTGTTTTTATTCTACACTCACTTCTTGCCATGTGAACGCTGTCCTGCCTGGCCTTTTCTTCTGGGCACAGTCAGTGAATAGTTTGGTGTCTGCCTTTGGGCTATCTTCACTCCAGAAGCTCTTCGTGTTTGTATGCTTCTGCATGTCCCAAGTTACTGCTCTCTCTGACTAATGTCATGTCCCATGGGTTCATGAGCTGCATGCCCTGCTCCAGAGGCCTCTGTCTGTACACCTCCGAACACAGAAACTGTCCAAGCCAAGGCATATTGCTGATCACATTGGCAGATGGGAACATCCAATCAACACTGAGCCCTGTGCTGGATATAGATAGCAAGGGGTCCAAAGATCCATTACACTTAATATAAGCCCTTTCAGACAGAGCTTTCTCAGAAAATTACATGACTGACATGGTTTCTCATCACAAAGGGTAGAACCTGAGCTTGTCGCTGCTAAAACTTCTCAGGAGGTCTGCAACTAGCTCTCCCCTTCTCCAGAGCTGTATTGTGGCTGTTTCCACCCAATCACTATGATAGGTTGACCCCAGAGACCCTGAAGTATAATTGTTCTGTAACTTATGATTCCCAGAATAGCTCAATCTTAAATAATATATCTTTTCCTAAAATGGCTTCTGATTATATCATTTCTAAGCATCAATGATGCTACATTGAATTTATTTTCAAACTTTGGCCAGCCAGCTGGAAGGAGTCATTTTCAGAGTAAAACCCCACATTGTACAGTTACAATAACTGGGGGTTTCTTTAAAAGAATATTGTTTTTCTTTAATTACTATTTCAAACTCTTTTGTGTGACAATAGGAGACATGAAACACTGTTCATCTACTTATGTTTATGATTGCATTGCTGGAAATAGGTCCCCAGCATGTAGTAAGTAGACACTCTGCTCACTGAATGTTTGAATTGCCATTGTTTACTCCACTGCTAGCCATTAGTGATGAAGAACTGTCTAAAATTGATAGAGGTTACCACAAAGCAGTATAAAGTGTGGTCAAGGAGCAGCAAATGTTAAATTTATCAAGTCTAAATGACACCTGTTGTGTGGCATGTATTTCTTAATCAGCTAAACTTAGGTCCTATGTATTTAATTTTATTCCAAGGTAAACTACTCTGGAGCACAAATTATCGTAGGATTCGAAGACGGTGTTGTTCGAATTCTTGAACTCTATGATCCAAAAGGGCTCACACTTTTTACAGGACGGAAGAAAATTTTGGATGCTGATATTTATTTTAAACAGGTTTTCAAGCCCCATAATGCTCAAGTTACTGCTTTAGCTTATGAACGTGATGGAGAAATTCTAGCAACAGCGGTAAGCTGAAGATTTACCTCTTGTTGCTTTTGAAATTTTATGGTTAACCTTGTGTTATAAGTCCATCTACTTGATCACACCTCATTTACTGAAAATAATTCTCTAAGAATTTAAATATTTGTATTTTGCTTTTGTTTTGTTCATATTCTTTTAAGATAGTCTCTGTAGAACATTAAAAATTACTCTTATAAATTGAGTTCTACTTTAAATGAATAGAAAATTCCAATTTGGAACCATTGTAGATATATTATTTCAAGTTAGCTTTTTTTTTGGTACCAGGGATTGAAGTCAGGACCTTGCACTTAACAAGGCAGGTGTGGTGCCTCTGAGCTAAATCCCTGGCCCTTAAGTCAGCATTTTATAACTTGCTTTTTGGGGGGAAGGATATTGGAGATTGAACCGAGGATCTCTGCACTAAACTGCATCCCCATCCTCTTTTATTTTTTATTTTGAGGCAGGGTTTCACTAAACCACTTAGTTGCTCTGACTGAGCTGAAGCTTGTGATCCTCCTGCCTCAGTCTCCCAGAGTTCTGGGGTTGCAGGCATATGCCACCATACCTGCTTAGCATGTTTCTGTTCTTAAATAGAACTACCATAGGTGAGGGACTGTGGATTGATGGTACAGCAATTGCCTAGCATATGTGAAGTCCCAGGTTTAATCCCCACGCTACAAAAAACAAAATGAAAATAAACCAACAAAAAAGAGACCCCCCCCCAAAAAAA